GGAATTGTTTCGTTTTCCGACTCTGACCAGTGGCCAATGTTATGTAGCTCTTATCTTTTTTGCTGCGGTTCCTCACCCGCCCCAACCCAAAAATTGTCATTTTGATGACCTTAACAACCTCGAGTGTCCCCCGAAACCCGCTACAATCGCCGCGCCTGTTTGCCGAATGATATTGGAAATTTTGCTCTGTGTTTTCCCTCCTCTTGTTGTTGTTTAAGTGCCGCAAACATTTCGCTGCCAAAGCGTGCAAAACAATAAAAAAAAAGAAGAAAATTTTTGCTTTTCACTGAACAGATAGCAAAACACACACACAGAAACAGCACAAAATGAAAGCCGGTGAACATAAGAAATGAAAAAAAAACGGAAGCATTCGGGAACATCATCAGTGGGAGGCATTTTTCAATTGTGTTAAAAAGAAATTTAATATGAAACTCATGCTGTCTATCGATTTTTAATTTTGATTTGCAACCAAAGCCCCAAAAGGCCCGCCTGGCGCCAACCACGGCTGAGTCTTTGTTGTGGTAGCAAAAATTTTGATACTCCCAAGGGGGCCAAAACCAGGGAAAGGGCTTGCCAAAGGAAAGAGGTAAAATGGTTTATCCATTCTATCTTTTTTGTATTTATTTTGCGGTATTGATTTTAAAGGCCCAATATATCTCAATGGAAATTTAATTGAAAGGTTAAGAGTGGGTATTTATTTTATTTTTTATATTTTAAAAAATTTTAAAAACATTTTGATGTTTTTTATACCCTTGAAGGGTATTATAATTTCAGTCAGAAGTTTGCAACGCAGTGAAGGAGACCTTTCCGACCCTATAAAGTATATATATTCTTGATCAGCATCAACAGGGGAATCTTTCTAGATATGTCCGGAAGAAATCGATTTTTTGGCCATTTTTGCAAAATTTTATAAGGGGTTACATCATTAAAATTTTTGATTTTGATAAAAAATTGAATTTTCAATATTTTTAAATGAAGTATGCAGATTTATTAACTGTAGAAAATCTTGCACAGAACAGTTTTCCGATTTAAAATTAATGCTCTTTTGGCCGAGTTATGATATTTTTAAATTTAAAAAAAATCAAGAAGTTTTTTAATATAAAAAAACGGATTTTATAATACAAAATAATATTTTTCTAAGTCAAGGAATCATTTCCGACCCCATAAACCATATATATTCTTGATCAGCATTAACATGCGAATCTTTCTAGACATGTCCGGAAGAAATCGATTTTTTGGCCATTTTTGCGAAATTTGATAAGGGGTAACATCATTAAAATTAGCAAAAATGACCAAAAATTTTGATTTCTTAAAATTTTTAATTTGGTATGCAGTTTTTTTAAATTAATAAAAACTAACACAAAACTGCTTTCCGAATCGAAATTAATGCATTTTTGGCATAGTTATGATTTATTTTAATTGTTATTATTATTATTATTATTATTACGGAAATTTTAAAAATTAGTTAGCTCTTAAATATTTCTTTAATTAACAAAATGGAAGAAAATTATTAAAGACTGCCCAAGAAGTTATAGTTTCTTCTCTTTGAAACTAAAAACCAACTACTTAACTTGTCAAAATGTTCTTAATATTTTTATAAATTTTATATTAACCATAACTCCACCCAAAAGGAGGTCCCTGATGTATGAGAAGTCACTCCCTTCTGTTTTTATTTGTTAGCAAATATATATACTATATATAATATAGGGGCCTTGCGACTCAGCTGACACATTTCGCCTTTTCGGGTGATGGATGTGCGGCAATAATTTCTGCTATTTATGCAAACCTTGCCTTGTGTTGTTATCAATGGATGGACCTAAGTCATCCCGCCCCTTTTGGTGTTCTGTTACCAGTATTTTCCCCACCTAACTACCTCCCTCACCGTGTATGTGTTTTGCCTTTTTATGCGGGTCAACGTTTAACCTTTACCTTGCCGGCAGACATACATCAAAATACGCAGATCAAATGCTGACTTTTGTGGGGATATGAAGCCTGGAAACGGCAACACGTGTGTTGTTTCCAAACCGATGCGGATGCCTACGGTCTTCGCGACATCTATCGTGGATATATATGGGGATATATGTATATATGGTTGGAAAGGGAGCCCTCCACTTATGCAAATTGAAATGCAAATAAGCCATGCCGACTGTATAGGCGTTTTATGTTCAAATCTCCCACAAAAGTCGCTGCTTTTCCCTTTGTGTTTCGGTGTTTCGAGTATTTCGTATTTTGTTATGGCACGCTTTATTGAATTCATTTAAAAAACAATTTATCTTTTTTGCTGGCACGGCTGCTGTTCCTGCTGGCTAACAGGCATTTTTCCTGTATTTTTTCAGGCCTTCTGCGCCTGTTTTCCATAAAGGCGAGTGGAAGGCCTTGGCAAAAAAATCAGGCAACCGGCAAAATGTGAGCCAGAGAGTTGCATCGCCTTTTGTCTAACATCCCAATTAGCCTTTTGTTTCGATGTCAATGCAAAACAGGCAAACCCTTCTCTTTTCCCACTATGTTTTTCTTTCTATTTCTTTTTCTATTTTTTTATTTTGCACCCATTCATTCTGAGTGCAAGCTGTGAGCATAAAAAATTGAAAAGATTTTTGCTCCCGTCGGTCACGCCTTTTAAGGATCACAATTGCCTTTTGTACACCGCCTCCTGTCAATGACTAAATGTATGGCTGTTCACAAAAATAAAAAGGAAACAAAGAAAGCCAAGCAATCTGATGGCCTTTTAACAACTAGAACTTGACTTGGAAAACCGGGAAATTTCTATAGCTTTGGAGGAAGCAGGCTAATGGCTAGTTTACGGGGGTTTTTCTTTGGGTAAATATAGTCTAACTGAAGGATATTGCTTTAAGAAATAGTTGTTTAATAGTTTTATTATATAGAGAAGGTCAGGAGTATATTTGCGGAATTATTTTGTATGGTTTAAAAGGGGATGTTTATTGATTTAATGAATTTATAAAGAAATAAAATCGTAGAATAATAATTTAACGAACGATTTTATTGTAAAAATAGTTGTAAAAATTGTTTATTAAATCAAAGAGGCTTTGAAAATATTTGTATGATTGTTTTAAATTAAGCAGCCATATTTTATATGATTAAATTATATAATAAAAAACCAATGAAAGCTTAGTTTGTTTATATAGAAATAAATATCTGTATGAATAAATCAATAAAAATTAAAATGAATATATATTTTGTGTTTTTAATTTATTTTTCTTTCAACAAAAATGTATTTTGTATAGAATTACTACAAAACAATCGAAATAATTCATTGAATTTATTTAAATTTAGGTATTTACCTAATTAAAAATATCAAAAACTCCTTTATTTACTATCTAATTTAGCTGTGAAATAATTTCCCATTTTTTCTATATTTCCTAAATATTTGTTTTCATGGTAAATTGAAAACCCATCACATCACTCCCACTCACAAATCTCCACATTTTTAGATACATATATTTGCGCCTCTTTCCGCTCTTCTCCGTTTTGGACCATTAGTCTGGATTCCGGGGGCCTCCATAAATCAAGCAAATTGTTTAACGCGCGATTAGCAAAATTGTGTAATAATAATTCTTATTTTATTTTGGCTCTGCTCGGCGATGTTTCGTTTGCTTCGAACACGTTTTTGGCATTTGCATGTTGTGCGGCGGTGGCGACGGCGGCTACTTAGCGAAAACATGTAGTACATGTATCTGTTGGATCATTTATTTATTATGCCTGTCGTCTGGCGGTGGCCACGCCCCACAGCACCACCGCCCCTTAACCTTGCGATGGCCTCCCTTTTGTCTGGCGTGTATTTTGAATGGCCTGTTGAAATTTTCCAAGCGATTTGCAGCATACGCCGCATTGAATATTTCCCTCGGCCCAACACATACTTTTTCTCTTTATTATTTTTGTTGTTGTTTTTCACTGCTCCTGCCTTCTGTTGTTGTTGTTTATTCACGCTCAAAATGCTGTGGAAAATGATTATTATGATTAATAAATAAATATGCTGGCAACGGCAAGCAGTATTCAATGCGTTTTATTCAAACAGTTTGAAAAGTTCTCCACCCACGAGATTTTCTCTTACTACACCCGACGCCTCATTTTGCCTTTCTTATTTATCCATTTTTAAAGGAAAATCGCATAACCAAAGCGTTTGAATTGAAGTTGCGTATACGCAATGTGTTGCCAATACTTGAGGGACAATGGTAAGAATTTGAGGAATTTGTGAGCAGAAAAAGAGGTTTGAAAATATAAAACCAACAAGTAATAATTTATAATTTTATATATAAAAATATAGCTTGAATAATTCTTTAACTATATTTATTTTAATATAAATTTCCCTTACATTTTTGAATATTTTTCTTATATTTTTAAATTAAATACAAATTATTTATCCATTTTCCGATTTCTTCATTAGCCAAGTTGTACAACTTTGATCTCTAGTTCCCGGTTTTCCCCCATTGTCCTGGCATAAACAATAATTTTGTTTTTCCCAGCCTAGAATCATGGGCCTAACAGCTGCGCCTGATGGCTTTTCGCGCAAAAAGGACGAAAAGGATACGCGCTATAGGGGAAGCCATCAACTTGTTTGCACCATCAAAACGTTGCTATTGGTGGGGGTAATGAATTATCGCCAGCCAGATGAACATTTAATGATGTACAATGGCATCGATGACGTTGCCTGTGTCGCTGGCAATTTTAATAAATTTAACAGCTGAACGCACGAGACTTGGGCGCATCCTTCATCTTTTATCGTCACGGGAAAAAACACAATCCCTTACGCGCTCGTCGGCAATTAAATAAATGTCCTTTAACCCTTGACATCCATCCCCCCCTTCACCCCCCTGCCGAGCTCATTGACAGCCATCAGCAATGGCGTTGAATTTATGAGGCTCGCCTGTGATTTATCAGTCCATTGCACACGGCACAGGACAGAGCCAATCTCGGCCAATCTCCGACTGAAATGCAGGATACAGGCAGGATATATGCGGGCCCTGGACACACTCTGGACTCACCGATAATTCGAGTTGAGCTGCACGTCGCCAATGGCCACGTTCTCGAACAATGTGGGGCAGCAGGTCCATCGCGCCCAGTAGAAGGTGAAGTCGGTCGAGTCGTAATGCTCGGTGAAGCGGCACTTGAGCACCAGATCGACGCCCTCACGCGTGTCCAGCGAGTCATCGCCGGAGACGGAGGCCAGCAGAAAGACCAGCAAGGAGATCAGGCCAATCGAGGGCCAAAGGTGACCTGGAATTGGAAAAGAAAATTATGATTACAAAAGAGGAAATATAAGAAATTTTAATTATAAATATATGTTAAGAATATCTTAGGTTTTCTTATTTAAAACAATATAAAAATATGACTTACAATTCTTAAACTTTAATTGATTTATTTAATATTAAATTTACGCTTAACCTAATTTTATTTTCATTCAATTTTCGCTCAGTGTTTCCTGTTTCCTGTGCAACATGGCAATGGTAATTCAATTACGCTGTGCAAATTCTAGCCTCGCACATTTAATTAAGAGAGAACCCGTCGAAATCCAATACAAATTCATAAAACAACATTGATATATCCGTTCGTTGCTAAACTGATTTGATTTATTTTTTTCCACTATTATTAACGCAGCAGAGCGAAAACGAAAATCAATACCAGCAAGAATGTACACTATATGCACCAAAAATAAAGGATCAACCATGCAAAAAACAAAATAAAACTAGAAAAATGTAGAAATAAAAATAGAAAAAAAGAGGAGAGACTGTAGAAGCTCGTGGAAATTGTAAATCTATACCACAAAAATGAATAATTCACATGGCACGCCAACCATAACACAATGGCAACGGGAGTGGAACAACTGCATCCCAATTGGTTTGTGTTCCCGAAATGAATTTCCACACAAATTGGGGGATTATTTATCAAAAACAAAAAAAAAGTAAGACAAGAATTTTCTAGAGTATTTAGTTTTTGTTATGAGAGGATTTTTACAAGGATTTTTTAATGGAAAGAAGAGCTTACAGGTGGTGAACGTTTTAAAAATATGTACAAAAGTGTGTAGAAAATGAACTACAAGATAAAATCAACACTTTATTTTTAAATAAATTATTAAGAACTCACTTCTATCCCAAACTTAATCAAAATTCTTTATTTTCAGCCAATTGTAATAAGTAAAAACTATTCAAATTTGTTTCCAAGCCATTAAACTTTATTATTCGATGGCTTTTTATTTGAACGTTTTACCGAAATTATAGAAAAACTTTACGGGAAAGCAAATTAAGCGGAAATAATCGAATTGAAATTTATTTCTTTTACCATATAAACTAAAATATATTGTGAGCCCATTAAATTTAATTTTTTTATGGAAATTTTTCGAGTTTTCCATCAGCTCTCGAAGTGCTGGAAAAATCTGCGAAATAAGTTTCCCGGAAACAATTCCAATCAAATTTCGCTGGCTGCATTTCCTTTCTGGGTTCGTTTTTTTATTTTTCTTTAATTTTTTTTACGTTTTTTTATATTTTTTCCGGGAAAAATGAAACTTTGAAGCTTTTACTTGCCGCACTGTGGTCGCTTTACAGTTTTAGCAGCACTGGCCGAATAAAACTAAGCACGCAGTTTAGTTTTTTGGTCCTTTTTCTGAGTGTGTATTCAGCTAAATGGAGCAAATGGTCGAGTGGACGCCATTGGGTCGAGTGCTGCTGGTGGAAATTGTAGAAGGTTGGTGGGGGGTTTGGGGGCTCGGGGCCGGTTGTTTGCACATGCAGCGCTTAGTTTTAATTTGTCTGCCTGAATTTTAGTTTTTTGTGTATACTGTTCCTGCTTTTTATATTCTCTTCCACCCCTTACTCCACTCAATTTTCGTGTATTTTGCTGGTGCAAATCTGTTTTTTCCACAATCTGCCCATCCATAGATGTATGCTTGTGGATATATATTTCCCATTGTTACGCTGGCCATATATTTTATCCTTAAAAACAAAAAAAAAGGATGATGACCGAAGCAACAGCTTTATTGTGTTGAGATTTTTGGGTATATATAAAGTGTATATAAAAAGTTTGTATATGTAGTGTATATAGTATAGTATACTATACAAACAGCTCAATGCAACTGCGGCTGCATTTTCAATTGCTCATCGCTCAGATGTATGCTATGGTTTTTTTTTTTGGTTTGGCCATCTGCTGATTTTTCTTCTGTTTTTAGCTTTTTTCTTCAATCACGTGGAAACTTTGGCCCCCATCCGCTTACTGTTATTGTAATTAACAGTTTCTGCTTTTCGTTAGAGAAAAAAGTATTGAAATATTCACAAAAAAAGAAGAATCTTTGGGGTATTTGTTTGTTTTAACATTGGTATTTTTCGGCAAATACTCTCTGATATATTTGGTTTTGCTTAAAAGGGTATATCAAATTCTCAGCTGTTTTTTTTATAGTTTAAAAAAAGAGAAAGCTTTTTAAATGGTGGCCAGAATTATATGATGTTTTTCAGTTTAAAATTCATAAGTTTACAAGGGATATAGGTAGTTGTTGGGAATTATTGAGTATAGGGCTTCTTTTGATATTAAATTTAATATTAAAAGTAAATTTAAGAGCCTTGATTTTGGCTTAACATTAAAAACCTTCACTTTAAGGCTTAGGATACCTTTTTATATATATTTTCCCACGTAAAAATGTTCATTTTTTTAGCCAAAATTTCCTCACCTAAAAGCCATAGCTAAACCAGCCAAAATTCACTACAAAACTGTTTAATTTTTCATCCGATTTCAGAGATTTAACTCTCTGAACGTTTGGGATATTAGTTCGCATGGCCAGTTCGCTCGCTAACTTCTAATCAGTGGAATTTACAAACGGAAATCAAATCAATTTGAGGTAAAAATCCCCATTCGATCATTGCAGGTAATTTGCAAAATTCAGCAAAATCAACACAGTTCCGAGCTTATCGTTTTGCCATCGACCATCGATTTACATATTACCATGCAAATAATTATGAACGAGGGCCCAGCGCTGGGTCCTCGAGGGCTTGTTATTGCCATGGCCACAGCCACCACCACCCCCTCTCTCTCTCTGTGCATACGGAATCATGAAATGCATATGCATATATAGATTTCATTTGCTTCAAACAAGTTGGATATCAAACTTGGCTGGAAATTAACATGAGCAAGTTGAAAGAAAAACACAGCTCGAGGGAAAAACTCGCTATAAAATGTTTAAAGTTTTTTTTCGGGAGAGAAAAAACCATCTTTCCTCGTGCCTTTTTCCTCTGTTTCTGTAATTTTCCACGGCCGTGAGGCACAACTGTATTTTGCAATTATTTAAACAAGCTTTTGCAATCTGATGGATTTTAAAATGTAAATTAACTTTGTTTGCATACGAAAGTTTTCACTCACAGTCACCAGTCGCCAGTTGGGGATAACTTATTCCGCTCCATGTGAGAAGCCAAGAGCGTGTGTATTTTGTAATAATTAGCCATCATTAGAGTTCTGGGTAAAGTTCTTCCTACGTCTCACTTTTCCAGCTTTATGAATTTTTCAATTGTTCGCTCTTTACTCCTAGAACTGGGTAGCTGAAAACTTTATCATCTCCACTCAGTTCAGTTGAGTTCAGACCTCAGAACTCCAAATGCTTAAACATTCATAAATGCAAGTGCACACAGGAGAAGCAGTCGAGGGTTCGTTTTCGGGCCAAAAAGATGCCAAAGCAAAAGTCAAGTCTGGCCAAAAGCAACCCAAACACACACACAAACCGAGAGCAAACAACAAAAAACTTTACACACACTCATAGAAATACAACAAAAAATAATACAGTCCCTATTTCACTTTACAGCATAGTTTTTGTTTCAGTTTTTTAGTTTAGTTTTTGCGGCTCTTGGTTTTATTTTTTAACGTCGAGTTTGACTTTTGTTTGGGGTCGCCGACGCGTCGTCTTCATAAACACAAATGGCAACGGATGGCGAAAGGAATGGAAATAAATGTGCATGGAATTTCCAGGAAAACGAAGTGGAAATGCTCTTGGGATTGAAGAGAATATTCCTAAAATGGTTTATTATATTTTTAAATGCAAGTTAAAATGTTTTAAATTTAATTTATAATAAGATTTTTATTTAGGATTTGCAGAGAATATTTTAAAAATTTTAAATAGATTTTTGGGATAGGTGTTTGAGGCAAAAAATAAAGAGTTTTTCAGGAAAACGAAGTGGAAATGCTCTTGGGATTGGGGGAAAATATTTATAAATTGTTGAAAATATTGTAAGATTTAAGTTATTATGCTTTAAATTTAATTTATAATTCGGATTTCATCTATTTTATAATTTTAAAATAGATTTTTGAGCCAAAGAAAATGGGTTTTTCAGGAAAACGAAGTGAAAATACATAGAAAACATTGCCTAAATATCTTATTTTTTAGAATATTTTCTTAACAATTTCTTAATTATATTTAAGGACCCATTAAGTACCTTCAAATATTTACTACATTTTCTCCAAATTCCACTCTATCTCCGACTTTATTAATGCCTTTAAAACCTGAAGAATGCATAATCAACCAGAGTATGTTGCACTTTGGTTAAACATTTGCCCTGCAGCAATTCGAGTATCCTGTACTTCCTTTTTCCCTGGGTTTTCCCCCTACCGATTTTCCACCATGCCACATGCAACATCTAACACTTCCACATAATTCTGGCTGTCTGGTGTCCGCTTGACTTGTTTGTAATTATTTATTTCGCATCAAGTGTAGCACACACTCTTGTGCGTGGACAAGAATTATGGCATTTGGGGGCATTGTGTGTGATGTCTGGAGTTTTTAAAACAGATTTCATGCTACAACGCCGGCCAGATGAAAAGCAAAGGATGAGATGGGAAAATGTTTTTTCCCCGAGCAATGCAACTAATGTGTGAGTGAGTGAGTGTGTGTATGGGTTTCACTTAAAACAAGCTGCTTGGCTCGTTTACTTGTGGCTTTCCCACCCGATTTTCCCCTGACCAAAGCTCTTGCTTTTCTTTCAGCTTAATGCGAATTTCTGCTTTTAACATCGACCATTGTTGTTTTCCTGCCTCTCTCTCTTTCTCTGTGTGTGTGTGTGTGTTTGACGTATAAATATAATATGTAGTCTCGCCTCCATTGTTGTTGTAAAATATATTACTTTTTAACCTCGGAGTTTGCTAAAGTTCCTTACCCCTTCTTACCCCTGCTGTTTGTGTAATTTTTACTCATAACAATTACAACAATAGCAATTGCTGCCTGAAAATCAACTCTATGCGAGTGTGTG